GAACAAGGTAGGAAGAACCCTTGTCAAAAGCTTCTAATCTCCATGGTACAGTCCAGTTGCAGTTCTCATAGTGGAACATGTTGTCGGGGTTGACATGGCCTCCGCAAGGAGTATCATATATATTCTTACAACAAAGCCTCTCGAGTTGTGACCAATCCACATCCTCGTTGGCATAAATCCTTTCACTCACTGTGTTGTTCCAATCTGAGTTTAGCGGTAGCAAATTCAGTAAGTGAAATATCCCATCAATCTTTGGGAAAATATGCTCAGCAAAGATTGTTTCCCAAGCCCCAAATTTATCATGATCTGGGTAATAGGGTTTCTCTTCCTCTTGAGTTTTCCATTTTTTGTTTTTTTGAAGAACCTTGAGTATCCATTTTTTATTAAACAATTCTAAGATTTTTTAATAATTAGAGAAGGAAGGGGAAAGGTTTTCAATTTTTTTTTTTGCATGCAATAAAAAAGTAAAAGGTATCATATCTAAATTGGGAAAAATCACCTAAATAAAGGATTTTGATTACATAATATTAACAGTGGTAACATTGACTAACGGTTCAATTCTAAAGACCCTCTCCCTAAATTTTTTTATTATTTAACCTTCAAAGTAACGATAACTGAGTGGGAAACCTTTTTTTAATTGCATGCATTGGGAATCAGCAATATTTTTTTTGAATAAGGTCAATAGGTTAGGTTTATTTACCCCTATATTAAAGACTACTCACCTCAATATTTAACATAAGTATAGGGGAATAAAAGAAGACATACTTTTAACTCAATATCCCACTTTGAATTTCTAGATTAATACTACACTAAGATTTTAAATGTGTTGTTCTTGGATTTAAGTATTTTTAACATCCTTCACAATACCATTTTTACTTGCAATTTAATTTCACCATACCAACATTTTGTTGACGTACGAATTATATAAAATGTTAACTTCAAAAAATTACAAAATACAGAAAAATTTACATATCTAGCCACAATTAGAAAAAGAGTTACTAGTATATTTTGTTGAAAAAAAACAAGGGTAACAAGGGTTATAATATTTTAATTAGGAGGTAAGATAATCTTTTTTGTAATTTAATTAATTTTCAACTCGGTATTAGAAACATTGAGCTAACCAAATGTGCAGTAGCTGCATTGAACAAAGAGCTCAAGAATACATAACAACGGGTCTCTAGTTATAATATTGTGTAGGTTTTATGTTATAATCCATCATTAGGAATTAAACACAACTAAAACTGTGTATCCCTTGTTATAATTTTATTGAACAGTTCTTGTAATATTGTATATCTTTTTATGAAGTGTACATGGTCATATAAATCGTTTAACATAAATATTTATTTTACATGATGTATTTTTTTATATAAAAAAGACCACTGAAACATATCACATAAAATCGAGTACGTAACCCCATATATAAATCTTATATAAGAACCATCAAAAAAATATTTATAATAAGAAGGAAACAACTAAATGACTAATGAACGAGTACAAAATTTAATAAGTAATGTACATTTGCTTCTATAAATTAAACAATTGAGGGTAATTATGCATGTTTGAACGTTTAGTGTTTATTTTCATCTTTCTATTATATCTTTCTATTATATATATTGTTTTTATAAAAGTACTCATTATTTTTCCTACGGAACATAAGGTCTGATATGTAGAAAATCTTTTGTCCGATTCTTTTTTTTTTGTGTGGCCAGAAATTCGCCCACTCTATCCACATTAATTAACATTTTTTAATTTCATAATCTTATCAACTAAGTATCCTCTCCATTTCTGCCATAGCAAAACAAAAAAACAAAAAAACAAAAAAAAAACAAAATCACAAATAAACATTTTAAATAAAATTACAAATCACCAACAGATATTCATGACACATGGTCCTTATATTACTGTGATTTGCTTAGCCTATTTTTTTATTGTCTTCCCCTAGGATATAATATAGTTTGCGTGTTGGTTTTCATGTAATAATTGCTTTTCTTGATTTATTTTGTTCCTAATTTCAGTTATTTTTTTAGAGGTCATATGCAATGGTATGGTACTATATATGTTGTACATATTCACATCCAAACTTAACCCCATGACTTACTTATCCCTTTCCTTCCTAAAAATCCCCATTATCTTATCATCATGAACAACAATGATCAAACTGAAACCGAGCCTTACTACCCCGACCATGATTTATTAGGTGATTGGGATCATATCTTTCTAAAAATAAAAGATATATGTGCACTATGTTTTATGTTGTTCCTTTTAAGTTTCCCTCTGTGCTTGAACTTTAAGTGTGTTTTGTTATGTTGAAACCAATCATCTATGGTGATGGTATTTTAATTATGAATCTAAGTATTTCGTATGGGTTTTAAATCAATTGCTAGAGATGTTAATTTACACGAGTAGGGATTTGTCGATTTGTGTATAAATATTTGTAAACAAGATCATTTCTGAATTTACAGAATCATAATAAATTTAAGGTAATCACACTATACGTGGGGTTTTGTTCGAGAGATATAATACAACAAACATAACTTCAACTGCTGTGATTATATGATAGCATAAAAAGCACATTAATTTCATTATGATTTCAAAACAAAGTACAATACATAATCAAACTAATACATGAATGGATAGTAGTGCACTTGTAGTGCTAGTAAAGTGCATTTATAGCGCTAGTGGATTGCTACATTAGCATAAATGGTAGTGCACTTATAGTGGTGCACCTATAATGGTAATATTTTGCAACATTACATAATCGAATTCCTACATGAATGGATAATCCGTGGGGTCAATGTCTTCTGGTAACTCATCAGTATACGGGTGATTCCTAAACCTACCCTCCAGGATCAGCGCATCCCTCCATTCCCAAGACTCATCGTTTTCTCGAATTCCAAAAAATTCTTATGCTTAACCATACACCCGAGATGAGGCCTATTGATGACCGTCTCAAGCTGACTCCAATCAATATCTTCTTTCTTGTTAATCCTTAGCCCTATAACACGTAGCATCCTCTTGTTTACAGACTAGAATTTTAAAAGGTATCCAATTTCTGGTATCTTTGGCAAGATGTGATCATCAAATATTTCGTCCCATTTGCCAAAGTCATATAACTCTACTTGTAGAGCTAAAACCCTTTTATGTGAATGCTCCATTGAAAATTTTTGAACTTAGTTGGTTGTACTTAGAATGTTGTAGTCATATTAGGTATCACATGAATATATGTAGAGGAAAAATTAAAAGGTGTGAAAGCTCTTACTGATTTTTCCCTCCAAAAGTACTTAAGAAGGGAAAAAAACCATTGGGGAACCATTTACCTCGATATGTACAAAAAATAAAGACTATAAACTGGAATAAGATATCCCAATTCCTTTTATTCACGTAGCTTTTACAATTACTTATAAGCTACAATCCATGGGAGAATATTATCCAAACCACGACCAGTTCGGTCAATGGGAGGTGATTTTTAGGGGGCATATATATCCGAAAATCAATGAGATTGAATATCTCTTCAAATTTCAGTCGTTAAACAAAGAATGGAAGGAAACTACTGGAAAACGGATCAACGAGAACAAAAACATCAACTGGAGCCAGTTTGAAAAATATTGTTGTAAGCTAGTTACAAAAGACTCATGTCAACACAACACATTTGAGGAAATGAGCGGGTGTGAAACATGTCAACATCAAGTCAGTTGGAGAAGACGCTGCTATGAACGTGGGAAATGCCATTTAACACAAACTCATGGAGGCATAGGCGCAGGGCTTGGATATTGGTTTGGCATCCATTTGTAGTAATTTACATGAATTTAGTTCTTTTTATTGTAGTTGTTTAGAGTCCTTGTAACCTTTTGAAATATAATAAAATTGTAATTGAAAGGACATTCCTATATACTACTTTTAAGTATGATTGTTGTTATAACCATTGCTTAAACAAATACATTTTTCATATTTAAATATTCAATTTACCGAATTATAATTGATATGTAACAATTTCACCCTGCAATGTCTGGGTAAATAAAACGCAAACCCCCTCATAATTTATTTTACAGTATCAAAATATCATTTAAAATAGCAAAACAGAATAAATAAATTTAATTCATATAGAACTAATAGAAGACGATTCAATAGAACAATACCAATAAAATTGTTAAGGATAACATCTTCAAGATCATTAACACAATTTTTTTAAAAAAAAGGATACAAAAGGCCAAAAAGGATAAAACACATACAATGGTAAACCATAAAAGGTCCAAATTTAATAAAGCGATAAGAAGATTGCATGACTTCATAAACACAATCCAATGAAACCCTAGAAACCCACAATCAAGTCTTCATCCTCCACAGCCTCAATTTGGTTTGGTCCTCGATGTTGTTGCTGCAGCGCCAGAGTTTTCCTGTTGATTTTCAGAAGCTTTCCTTGTAATATCGGTTTTTAATTGTTCTATTAGGATTTGCAATTCAACTTGCCTTTTTTCTGCCTCCTTCCTTTGATGGCAAGCCTCAACATAACGCCCTTGAAGATATGACAGATAGTGTTGCAAACCAAGCAACTGCAACTCATAAGGAGATTTTGATGATGAAGCTCCATCTTTGTTATTCATTTTCGGTGATGAGGTAGGTTAGTGGTTTGAACACGCAATAGAAGGCGAAGGGGTGTATGGAGAATTGGAGGTTAATGGTTGAACACTTAGTTAAATAATTTTTAAAATTGGTGTAAAAAATACAGTTGTGAATAAATACACAATTTCAAAAAGTTGGGTTAAAGCAAATTACTCAAAGATAATGTTACAACATAGACACTGGAAATAATAGTTCTTTTTTTTTTGTATAAAAAAAAATTAACACAACATGAGACTTACGCTTTTCTTCTTCTTTTTACGACTCCATTTTTCGGCGGGATGTTTATTTCTCTTCGTAGGAGCCCTTCTAGTGCCTCGTTTGTCAACCAGATTCTTAATTTGACCTTCACCCACAGGCTTTGCCACACTTTCAAGATGCCTTTAATTATTCTCCTTAGGCCTTATCCTACGCCGGCCAAAAACTCTATTCATGGATGGGTGACTCCAATCAAAACCATCCACTTCATCAGTCCTACGAATACCAATAACATCTTCAAGAGCAGTACGTTTTTTGTTAGTTGCTTCATAATACATTGAGAGTGTCTCATCATTGTGCATTGCTAACGTTGAAAGGTATTTGTGCCTCCTTTGAATTTCATCTTTCTGAGCTACGTTAGATGAATCCTTAGGTTCGTAATAAGACACCTTTATGCCCTCATAATCCCTAACGAGATCCTTCCTCCATCGATTCAAAATGTACTTCTCTGGGATGCACTCGATATCTTCAGTATGAATCACCTTGATCATATGCCGGCACAAGATACCCCTAAACTCAAACAGCTTGCAGCTGAAACTAAATTCGCCTTTTTCCTTATCAATGGAAACCTTAAACGTCCGCCTCGTTGCTTTCCATACTGGTTTGGGGATCTTCTCGTCTACATCATACAAATTTATTGACCCTATGTTACCTGTTTTAACTATATTGGTGTGCTTTAGCCCTATCACCTCGTCCCTCACCTCTAAAAACTTCTCATTAGTGTAAGCCTTGCTAAACACCACCTCGGCTAATACAGTGTTGTCATAGAAAAATGGATTACGCTTTGTTTGGTAATTTAGGTCCTTTTCCGTTTCCACTAAGCCACCACAATACGCATTAAATTGATTCATGAATTGCATCAGCCTAGTATTCAAATTAACGTACACTTTTACACCATGGTTCGTGCTTTCACTACGTTGCGTTGATGACATGCCATCCCAAAAGAGCCCACGCCAATAGCCAAGCGCCCACCGATGCCTATTAGCATATGCGTCACTTAACCAAGTGTTTTTTTGTAACTTGTACTTTATAACCATATCCTTCCATGCATCCTCAAACTCTTCAATGCTAAAATTATCGTGAACAACATGATCCAAATCTGCCTCTATCTCCTTCCATCTCGGTAACTTCCCCAAGTTCCTTGCAGCGTTTTGCTTAATGTGAAATAAACACAGCCTATGCGGCACATCTTCAAACACATTTTCCACTGCCTTCCCTATAGCCTTACACTGGTCAGTCAATATTCCTTTAGGGGGTTGGCCCATACATTCAACAAAGTGTCTAAGTACCCATTTGAATGACTCGGAATCCTCATGACAAAATGTATATTAGACCCATGATGATTGCAGCCTACAAATAGAGCAAATGGCATTTTGTACCTACAGCATTAATTTAGAAGATAAATGATTTATGTTACACATAAATGATTCTGTAAAAAAATAAATGATTCATGTTACAAATATATGATTCTGTAAAAAAAAATACATGATTAGATAAATGATTCAGGTTAAAAATAAATGATTCTGTAAATAAAATATAATGTGTTTATGCAACATCATTATGCCTGTTACATAAGAAGGTTGTATCAAACGAGCCAATATCACCAAAATCTCGGTACATTGCACGACCCCTAGCATCAGCCCAAAAAACATTTAGAAGTTTTCCTTCTTGATCTTGTTGAATAGCACTATAAAAATTAGGATCTTCTTCAGTCATCTTTATAAAATGTTGTTCGACGGCAAGTGCATCCCCTTGAAATAAGATAAGGCGGCGTTGAACGTGCACTGCATTTATCATATCTTGCTTGGTGAACGACAATTTCGAATGTCCTCCTTTCTCAATAACGAACGAATTAAAGCTCTTACCCAAAGAAATCCCAGCAGCATCGTTTAGTGCCATTCTCTCATAACTATCGTCTTCTATACCTCAATAGTTCACCATACGCCTTGTACAATCCGACAAAAGAGGATGATTGTGATCCAACACATATTGTGTTATTACAAACCATCCCCCTGACATTCTTCCATCATCATATACCTTACATTTTGTACAAGATTTCTTTTTTATTTGCGTTTATGCTCTACATTTTTGCTCCTGTCTTTGACACTAAGCTTACAATCCATTCTAATACGGGACGTTGATCGAGGGTGGAAGTAGGTCGTTGGGACTACTAACCCTAACCAAATTAGAAATTTATAATACCTAAACTTACACTAAACTAGTTAGTGGCAAGTAAAGGGTCGAACCCAAAAGGACTAAGTGTATTAATTCGTGCCAAATAGACTACTAGGGAAAGTCGTGAGATAGAGAGAGGTTAAATTAAACATGACTAAGAACAAACAACTAAAACTAGGGAAAGTGGAATCCAATCACATCAATGTGTTAAACAACATCATACAAATAGATGAAAATGACCTCGATTAGGAACATCAATACATTTAACTAACTTTCGCACAATTAAGCATGTTAATTATCCTACTAAACTAATTCATTCTCGTGCAACTAGCCTAGCAAAGGTATGGAAGAATTTAGGGCTCTCAACCAACTCACTCTCGCACAATTGATTGAAAGCACAATTAAGAGCATAAAATCGATTAGCTATCCATAAAAGCATCACCCATACACAATAATCAAGAAACAATTTCATACTAATCACAATCAATCATTCAATTCATTAATATAACCTTCATCTAATTCCCTAGAACAAGACCTAAGCTAACATAATGAAGAAAGACATAGAAAACAAGGTAAAATAAGAATAAAAAAAAAAAGAATAAATAAACAAAATAATTAATCTACGCAAATCAACAAACAAAAAGCAAAAACTAAGAATTAAGAAAAGAAATAAAGATGAGAGAAAGTTAGAAAATTCTCATTAAATAGATGAGAAGAAGTTCCACAAAGTTGCTTCTTCAACCTCTCAAAAACTCCGTGGAAATTCAAGCTTTCTCTCTCTACAACTACTCCTAATCTAACCCTAAGAGAGAGAAAATAAATTAGGCTAAACTATCTAAAAATAAAATGTTGATTGAAATTTGTTAGAAAATAACCCCAAAGGGATATTTATAATACAAGTTAAATAAAAATAAAATAAAAGAAATTAAAAAGATTTAAAACTAAATAAAATAATTAAAATAACTAAACTAAAAACAAAAAAAAAACAAAGCTACAATAAAATAAAAGAAAATGAAAAGGAAAAAGAAAACCCCTAAAACCCACTAAACCCGTCCAAACCCACGAAATCATCAGACCCCTCTTCTTCTTCCTTTTCGATCTTGGCTGCTTTCATTCTCCATATCAACAGCAAACAATCATCATCATCACCACCGTAAATCAACATCATCATCAAGCATCATCACATCGCAGCCGTCCGATTTTCATTAAAAGTCACGCGCGAAGCTCGTGAAATGGTTCGGTCGCACCATGGGTTGGTGCGGCCGAACTACGGGGTTGGTTCGGTCAAACCATGGGTGTGTTCAACCACACATCTTCAAATTACAAAACCTCAAAAGTTTCTGACTCGTACTTTGACCGAACTCCATTAGTTTGCTCGAACTTGATTAATTGCCATTTTCTCTGAATTGGGGATGTTGCTTGGGTGATTTGGGGTTGTAATTGGTGGCTAATTTGTTGCTATAAATTGGTGATGCGGCTGCTGTTGTGAAATGGAGTTGAGATGTTGGTGCGGTTGTGGTGGGCTGATAGTGGTTGTTGGTTGCGGATTGTGAGCTACGGGTTGCGTGGTGGTTGATTGGAGTTGCGGGTCAGTGAGAAGAGGAGAGGGAAATCAGGGTAGAATTGGTGGTGATTGCTGTGGTTTTGCGTGGCTGGTGAGAGTGATGATGTGAGGGATGTTGCGGGGTGTTGGTGTTTTGGAGGTGCGGCTGTTGCTGTTGGTGTTAGTGTATTGGAGGTGAGGTGCTGGTGGTTGTAGTTGTGGCTGGTGAGAGGTGTGGTTTATGGGAGCAAGGGAGTGGTTGATGGTGGAGGTTCGCAGGTGGTTGCGAAATTGATGTGGTTGTGATAGGTGGGAGCGTTTGATGAATTGAGGGAGTTGAGGATTGGTTGGTTGATGTGGTTTGGGAGGCTGCTGTGGCAGCGTGGTGGTTGGTTGATTGGTGGTTGTGCGTTGGTTAGTGATTTTTGTGGCTGGGAGCATGTTGTTTGACTCAATTCTCGGACCTTGAACCCGATCGACCAAGGACCCGAAAACACCTACAACCAAAAACAACACGAGGGGATTTTTAAAAGATAAAATAAAATAAAATAAAATAAAATAAGATAAATAAAGTAAAATAAAATAAGATAAATAAAGTAAAATAAAATGCTAAAACTAAATAAATAATAAAATTAAATGAAATAACATAACATAAAATAAAGAAAACAAACTAGAAACTAAAAGAAAAATAAATAAAAAGAGAGAAACTAGGAATTAATAAAACTAAGTTAATCTAAATTAAACTAAAAACTACAAAATACTCAAATAAAAAGATAAAAGACGAGAATAAGCAAAATAATATAAATAAAGGATAAAATGAGCCTAATTATTGAAATTAGCCGGAAAAGTATTCAATAAACACCCCTAAAAGTGACATAAAAGTCACTTATGAAACTCCCCCAAGCTAACCTTTTGCTCATCCTTGAGCAAATTCACATGAAACACGGGAGAAGGAGAGTGATTTATTCAACCAAATCTAAGACACTAAAGGAGTCAAGAATGTACACTAACTCACTTTCGTAGGAATCACAGTCAAATTTAGCTACTAAAGACAAGCCCTTTAATCCCCTAGATCGCCCTAGAGGACGAGTGTGCTCTTATGAGGTTGTCCTAAGAGTTTAACCCACAACTCTAAACAAAAACCAAGGCAAGGCAATAAAAAGAAAAGAAAAAGAAACATAAAAAGAGAAAGAAAACACAAAGTTCATATTTGGACAAGAGATAGGAACAAGCACCAATGAATGCAAACCTTTCTAAATAGACAAATGTATGCACGTTCCAAGATGTCAACGGTTGATTGAAACATAACATATGCTAAGCATAGAGAACTAATGGGGACACAATCCACCCTAGCCCCAACCGATCGGGCCGTGTTCTCTCCACTAGCTTCAAATCAACCCTTAAGCTAGTTTCTCATGATTCCACGAAGGAACTGGAAAAAAGGTAAAGAAATGAAAAACTTTGAGAAGGTAATCCCGACATATCAACTATGCATACTCTCTCCATAGATTTGAAGTCTATCTCCTTCATAAAAAGTGGAAAAATCAAGAGAGAGAATCTCTAGCTTCTCTCTAGCCCTTTGAAGTAGACTCTGGTGGTTGCCTTCGTCGGATTCCTTCTTCAAAGGGCTAGATTAGGGAAGCAGGATTGTTGTTCTTCAATTTCTTCAAAATACAAACCCTAAGAGCTTTTGGAGCTCTTGGGTCCTTTCTTCGTCCTTCAAGATTGAAGAAGGGTTCTATGTTCCGGTGATTGTATTGTATGAATCGGCTGCTGGGCGGTGGTTCGAGTCGTATCTTTTTCCCAGTAGCAGGAATTTGCTGAAAGTGTTGGTCTTTTCATTTGTGGGGCTGATTCTGGGTTTTTGGGGCTTTGATTTTTCGAATCGAACCCTCAATTTTCTGGGTTCTCGCTCAAAGGATGATGTCAATTTCTGGGCTAGTTCGCCGGTGACTGGGTTTTGTTGTTTCTGGTCTTTTTCGCTGGTGACGAGTCTAGTTCAGTGGGTTTGGGGTGCGCTTCAAAGTGGTCGTCGAGTGTAGATTCGACGGTTGTCTTCAACCCTTGATTGGCATTCTGTTGTCGGGGCTGTGCTCTGTTCTCAATCGACTGATGGGCGGTGTTTCGGGTCTGGTCTTTTACCCAGCAGCCGGAAATCGCTGAAATTGGTGTTTGTTGGGCTGATTCCAGGCTTTTGGGGCTGCGATTAAGCCCTCGATTTTCTGGGTTTTGCTCAAGGTTGATGATGTGTTCTGATCTTGTTTGCGGGTGGCTAAATTTCCTCCCTGGCTGGCGTGTTGTTGTTAGGGGCTGCTATGTATCCTGGGTTCGTCTTTCTCTAGGGATTTTGCGGGGTTCTTTTTGGAGGTTGAACTCGAGGGTTGGTGGCAGCTTACTTTAATTGCAGATTTGTAGAGGTTGAGGTATTCCCTGTTGTTCTTCATCTGTAAAAGGAAGGTTGATTTTGTTTTCTGCTTTCCTTTTATTATCTTTATGTAATTTGGGAATTGCTTCTTTGGTTGTAACTACTATCTAGGCGTTTTGCAT